ATCACCTGGTTGGTGATTCAGAAGAAACTCAGTCCAGAGGACTCGGTCAGGAGGCTGCTGAGGCCAGCCCCAAAGACTGTGCCAGGGCCACTGTGGGCAGTGAGAAAATGAGTCCTCCTCTGGCTCCAGGCAGGGATTTCCCAGAGCTCCTAAATCAAAACCCTTATCTGATCCATTCCAAACATAGTACATTGAAAATAGAATTAGACCAGGCAAGTGGCTCATGCCCATAATCTCAGCACTTCGGGAAACCTAGGCGGGAGGATCCCTTGAGCCCAGGAGTTTGAGACCAGCCTAGGCAACATAGTAAGACCTCATCTCTACAAAAAATTTTAAAAATTAGCCAGGCATGGTGGTGCCTACCTGTAGTCCCCATTATTTGGGAGGCTGAGGAGGGTGAATCCCTTCAGCCCAGAAGATCAAGGCTACATTGAACAATGATTGTGTCACTGCACTCTAGCCTGGGCAACAGAATAAGACCCAAACTCAAAAAAGAAACAGCAAGCAAGAACAGAATTAACTTCTTCTCCATGAGTTGCTCCCTGCTCTTTTCATCAGTGGATACAGTGTGTGGCTGTAATCACATGACATTGTTGTCAGGAAGACTGAGGTGTGTATAGCTGCCAGCCCCTACACTAAATGACCTCACACCACCATATTCTTTTAGTGTTGTGACTCCTTTATTATTCTGTCTTCCCCTGTGTGATGGTTAATTTTATGTGTACACTTAGCTGGGCCACAGAATATTAAACCTTGTTCTGAGTGTTTCTGTGAACACATTTTTGAATGAGATTAACATTTAAATCAGTAGACTGAGTAAAGCAGATTGCCCTCCCTAATGTGGACGGGCCTCATCCAATCAGTTGAAGTCCTGAATAGAAGAAAAGGCTGACCTCCCCAAGTAAGAGAGAATTCCTCCTGCCTGACTACCTTCCAACTGAGACATCAACTTCTTTTCCAGCCCTCAGACTCAAACCGAAACATTTGGCTTTTCCAGAGTTCATGAACCTGTCAGCCTTCAGACTGGAACTATACCATCAGCTCTCTGGGTCTCCTGCTTGCCTACCCTGCAGATTTTAGGACTCACATCCCTGATGGCATGAGCCAATTTCTTATCATCAATCTCTGTCTGTCTGTCTGTCTATCTATCTATCAGGGAGAACCCCAAAAAATTGGAATTATCTTTTGAAGGGCAGGTCCCTTGTAGGTAAGTGTTGTAGGAACCCACTGGCATTAGTATACCAGCTAGTTTTATTGCGAGAGGCCGTGTTCATTCAGTGAATTTTTTTGGAGATTCTTTCAACGTGTATGCCCATTTCATGATGGGTGATTTATAAACACACCTGCCCACACCATGCTGAGTGTTCAGCAGTTTTTGACCCCCATGGCCCACCCTCCATATTCACCCAATCTCACCCTGAGCAACTTTTTTTTTATTTCTTCAGGTGAAAAAGGTTCACAAAGGGAAATATTTTTGCCAATGTAGAAGAGGTGAAACAAAAAACAGCAAAAGTACTAAAAGGCATCAAAATTGATGAGTTCAGAAACTGTTTTGAGCAGCGGAGAAAGCATCTTAATAGGTATATTGTATCAGATGAAGAGAACATTGAAGGTGACTGAAGTTTAAACATGTAAGAATAAGTACACAATTTTTTATAAACAAATTCCAGGTTTGGGGTCCTCCCACATATCTGTATCTATATCTCTATCTCTCTATATATTAATATATAATGTCTTTCTCTATATAGATATGTTGATTGATAATATACATCTTATTGGTTCCGTTTCCCTCGAGAACCCTAACTGATATACCACTCGTGAAGTTGGCAGAAAATCTTTCAACAGTTAAGTTCCTCAGTCCATGTTAATTTCCTTCCTGGACCTGGGACCACTACCAGCTGACATTCTTCCCTCCCCTCTTGTAATCTGCAGCTTCTACAATATGGGGCAGCAGACTAAAAGTGGCAGACCTAGGCTAGAGCCTTGTTCTCACAAAGTTTACTAATTCTGTGACCCTGGAGGATTAGCTAATCTTGCTGAATCTCAATGTCCTCCCTGTAAAATGAAAAGAATTACCACCTCAGGGGGGTGTTGAGGGGATTAATGAGATAACATGCAAAACATCTTGCACAGTACCTGTACCTGGCACTGAACAGATACTCAATAAAAGGTTGCTTTTAATTATTGTTATTTGGGGAGTGAGGAAACAAATAAACTATACTATTGAGAGCTACACTTGAACTGTCAAAAGCCTCCAAGTAAGGGCCTAGAGGATATTGCAAAGTAACAGCCTGAGCTTGCTTTAACCTACTGAAGCCTTTTCTGCATCCAGGTTTGTGCTATGTCGGCCCTGGTTGAAGTCTCAAGATCTCTGAATAAGCAGGGAATTACTCTACTCACATTCATCTTCTTGGGCTCATATCCTGGGGATTTTCTCCCAGGGAAACTGATATAGTCTAAAGAAAAAGGAAAAACATCAATCTTGGAAAATGTGCTTGTTCATCCTTTTCATATGCCCCATTCTCATCCCGATCTCCTTCCAAGTTCAGTGCTTCCGTGTCTGTTCCAACCACTCTGGCTGATGCCTCATCATGTCTTACCTTGAGACTACCGTCAGTTCCCAACTGGTCTCTCTATATAAGAGGGCTCTCTCTAAAGGATAGGGCTGAATGCACTAGTCCCCTTGTTTAAACCTTTCAGTGGGGCCAGCCCACTCAGTCAGCAGTCCAGATGATCCTCCACGGTCTGTCCTTTCCCACTCTCCAGCCTCACCTCCCAATGCTTCCCCCAACCCCTGGACCCTGGTAGTTCTGAACCACCAACTCTTCCCCAGACTTAGCAACCTAAAAGCCCTTCCTCACTAGGCAAGAGATAACTTTATTTTATCCTTCAAGTTCAACCCAGTGTTACAGCTTTTGCAGAAAGAGTTAATCCAACACTGTTCACCTCCTGAAACACCCGAATCTATGTGCTTGACCCTACACCTTGAGTTTATCTCTATCATAGAATTACCACATGACACTATGATTTATGATGTATATGACCGTAGCCCTGTTTGTGAGCTCTTTCAGAGCAAGGAGTTTGCTACATTTATCTGTGTATTTCCTTGACCTATTAATGGGTGAGGCACCCAGAACTGAAGAGAGGTTAAGCAAATACATTTAAAAACACACACACTGGGAATGAAAGAAGATGAACACAACTATAAAGGCTAGTACAAGGGAGACCTTTGTGCTGAGGGAATAGTTGTCTCTTGACTGAGGTGGTGGGTATACAAATCTACACGTGTGACAAAATGGCACAGAACTATACACACATTGTAGCAATTTCCATGTCCTAATTTTTCTGTTATACCATAGTCTTATAAGATGGAACCATTAGGGGAAACTGGAGGAAGGGTATGTGGGATCTCCTTGTACTATTTTTGCAATTCCCTGTTTAACTATAATTATTTGAAAATAAAGTTTCCTAGAAAGGAAAAGCACACACAACACAAGCTAGTTTTTCTGTTCTAATAAAATAATTGGAAGTGAGAGGCTGTCAACTCTGAGATATTTCACAAAGTCTAATTTGATATTGTTTAAAATTGAACAGCTAGAAAGTGAATGGTTACAACAAAATCATCACCCACGTGTGCTTCAACATCTGGCCGGCTTAGAATTATAACAAGTTTCTGCTCAGAAGGCCTTCATGCCATGCGTAGGTGCTTAGAACCCTGAGTGGAATGAATTAGGTCAGTGCAATTATGGGATCTGAACAAGGTGAGCTATGATGAAACACATGAGGAAAAAACAGCTTCCCTTAACGCTGTCTGACCAGATAGAGGCTGGACAGGTGGGAAAAAACTGCCTGGTAGCCCCCAGCTTTGAGAAGCCAGAGCACCTAAAAAAAATCTGAGTCTGTGTCCACAGCAACTTGGGAACCCTAAAAAGCTACAGGTGCTAAAAAGTGAGGCTTGAGTAAACAAACACCTTCAAAAGCTGAAGGCCTCTGCAAACCCAGGGCCTCTGAAACCCTGAAATTCTTAGCAACCAGTGTGGCCTAACAACCCAATGACTTTAAGACCCTAGCTCCTTAAGAGCCTGAGGCCCCTAAAAATTGATGCTTCTAATAACTTGGGGCCTTTGAGAAATACAAAGCTTTTAATAAATTGAAAATCTGAATAACCTGGGGCTTCTAACAACCCAAGACCTATAATAAACTGAAACTCTTAGCAACTTGGGTTGCCTAGCAACCTAGGGACTCTAATTATCAGAGACTCCTAGCAACCAGGGAGATTGTACAACCTGCGGGCCCCATACACATCTAACCCTGGACCCAGACTGCCTCTCACTCTTGTGGTGGCCACATACTGAATCTCAAGAGGCAGTGTGATCTAAGAGACAGAGCCAGAACTGGAAACCAAAGACCCATGTTTATGGTTCTGATTTTGTTACTTACTAACTGTGCATCCTGTGGCTTAAGCTCCCTCTCCATCCATTGCTTCATATATAAAATAAGAATACAAAGCCGGGCTCGGTGGCTCAGCCTGTAATCCCAGCACTTTGGGAGGCTGAGGTGAGAGGATTGCCTGAGCCCGTGGGTTCAAGACTCGCCTGGGCAACTTGGCGAGACCTCATCTCTACAATAAATAAAAAAAAAAATTAGCCGGGCGTTGTAGCACACGCCTGTAGTTCCAGCTCCTTGGAAGGCTGAGGCGGAAGGATTGCCGGAGCCCAGCAGGTGGAGGCTGCAGTGGCCGGGAGCAGCCACTGCACTCCAGTCTGGGTGACAGAGTGAGACTCCAACTCAAAAAACAAATAAATAAATAATAAATAAAATAAAATAAGAATAATAATTATAATATCTAGCTTATAAATGATTATAATTATCTAATTAATTATCTATAATAATTATAATATCTAGCTCATAAAAGCATCAAATAAGGTTGTTTATGGGAAAGAATGTTAGCAGTGATACAAATGCATATCTCGATACCCACTACAGTCCATCTACCGTACCTCCAAAACATCTTTCCCATCTCTTCCAGGCCCATTGCCATCACAAAAGTCTCTCTCAGGTCGCTTCACTTCATTGTCTACCTTGCCACCAGTTTTCTTTCGAATGCACAAGTCCTGCGATGTCACTTTTGCCTAGAAGTTTCCCCTGGTTCCTCATTGTTCTTGAGGTCAAGTTCATATTCTTTAGCAAGATACTTCATGCTAAGGTCCTATCTTTTCAGCTTCATCTTCAATCACCCTCCCAATCCCCACTTCCTTCCTTTACTCCTAAAACAAATCCCAGAGGTGGGTACAAGTATTACCATCTCAGTTTCAGAGATAAAGTGGGTCTGAGTGAGAAGCTAAGTAACTTACTCAAGTACGTACAGTATTGAAACAGTAAGTTGAATCCTTGTCTGACTCCAAAACTCAAGTTCTTTGACTAAAAATAAAAAAAAAAAAGAATTTTTTAAAGTGATTCTCTGGCTATTCTCTGAATAAGCCAGTCTTGGTCATCTCATTTCAGAGCCCCTTCAGCCTTTTCTGCTGGAACCACAGGACAGTTCCATGTTGGTGGAGCCTGTGGTTTTATCACCAAGGAGCGCTCGCCTTGTTGTTTATGGGAAGGCATGAAAAAATACATCTATGGGTGTATACACATCAGACTTAAGAGACTACTGAGACCACACCCAGTGGTGCCTAACCTGTGGCCTATCTCATTTTGCCATATAGCTCATGATGTAATTTTGGGACAAACGGTTAGAAACCTGCCCCATGCTGCACCTCCTGAAAAAGGCTCGGTTATTAACATTTTAATGGCTAAAATGTCATTTTTATTCATATCCTTCTTGTCAATAAAACAGGTTAATCTGAGTTTTTAAAATATACATTTTCCTTCAGAGGACTCAAAACTACCATCATTTTTAATTAAAATAAATACGACCTATAACACCTCTATTTGCCCTGTTTGACTCTCAAGGTCGGGGGTGTGGGAAGGCTGAGTGGAATGGCAGGAAGATGGTTCATGACTAGTGTAGTCCAACATGAGGACAAATATACCCCATGGGAAAACTGAATCACTCCCACAGGAAGCAAGAGCCAGAGCAAGGACTAGATCTAACTTTCCAGAACATAACAGTGTACTCATATACTACTCTTGCAAATGACAGTACATAAAAAGTCCTCTGACATTACTGCTCATGGGCCTAGCATTGAGGGACAGTGAGCCTGGGCACTCCATAGGGCTTCTTATGGGCTGTAGAAGAGAAATAATACTTGACTGTATGGGTGTGTCCAACTCCCTGACTGTGCGCTCCTCTGTGAAATGGGGAAAAAGATACACATCTCTCAGAAGGCCTGGTTTCCATGTTGTCTTCCCTCTCTAATAGCTGTTCTTTCCAAGTTGTGATCAGGACCCCAGTGGAGCTTTCTCAAGGTGCTGGAGAGTTAGGTGGAAGGAGAGATAGTCTCCACTTAGCACCTACAAGCAATTTCTCTCCCAAGCTAAGAGGGAAGAGCTGAGCTCTTAGTTTATGCTGTTCAATTGGCCTAAAGGAGTAGCTTATAGCAATAGATTTCAATTGGGAAGCTCCCCGCCCCCCAGGGGATACTTGACAATGTCTGAAGACATTTGTGGTTATCACAACTGAGGATGGGGAGCACTACGGGTATTTGGTGAGTAAAAATCAGGGATGCTGCATCCTACAAAGTGCAGGACAGCTTCCCACAACAAATAATTGTTCAGCCCAAAGTGTCAATAGTGCCAAGGTCAAAACATCCTGATGTACAACACAGAGCAGTCTAGGTCTGAATCCCTCTGTTCCTACTTACTAGGTGATGCTAGATAGGCTGTCTCATTTCTCTAAGCCATATTCAGTTTCCTGATTTATAAAATAAGATTATTTGATTTGATGATCTATATGACCCCACCTAATGATATCTTTCTCCAGCTTTGCTTCCTAGTCACCAACCTGTTGATTTTGCTTATGGTATTTTGAGATTTCAGAAGCAAAAAAAAGAGAGTATACCCAGTTCCATTTCTTCAACTATATAATGGGAATAATTATTCCTACTTCACCATTCCTACCTTGGCATGAGAAGAAAATTGCCTATACATATTAAGAGTTTAATAAACATTCATCTTTTTTAAAACCACCATAATGGATTAGCATAGAAAAAAGTTCACAAAAACTGTCATTGCCTGAAAAGTGTCCTCATTAAACAGCCACCAGGGCACAGGGGCCTTTGAGACAAAGGAATTACATTGTTCACAACTTTCCAAGAGGCAGTAATGGATCTTGGGCTTTGCAGGAAACTAGTAAGGTGGAAAGACCTTAGGTAAGAAGACACATAGACCTGCTTTGAGGCCTCTGCCCCATCCTTAGAGAAATATTTCCTTTGGAAAGAAAAAAAATGCCATTGGGAGAACCATTTCAACAGCTCTAGTCCTACAGAGTGGAGGTTACAGAGTTTTGACATCATTTGACCTGAGTTCAAATCCTTCCTCTGTTACGCTCTACTCCATCACCCATCAGTAGTTATGATAATAATGTCACTCATTTAGGAGATTGTGAATTTCAGGTGAGACAAAACATTCAGTAAGTGTTTAATAAATGTCAACTATTGTTGTGTTCTAAGAGCTATAAACGAGTCCCAGTCAATGTATTGCCAGCCTAGGCACAACTGCATTCTTAGTAACTAAGATTTCCATGAGAAGTCGTGCAACATTGTCAAACCCCATCATAGATCCATGAGAAAGATGTTAGTAGCCTCTGCTATCTTCCCCCTACATACAAACATACACACACAAACACCTACAGATACCATTTTACATTCAGGAAAGGTGACATTGGGCATTTGATCAAGACAGAGATCTGTTATGATCTGAAGGATGGGGATACCAGGTTGCGATTTTCTAGTGTCTCTTCCCTCCCTCCCCGCCACTCCCAAAAACATACCCATCAAAAGAGGTTAAAATGACTGCCTTTGACTGTTTAAAGTGGGAAAGGCATCATCCTACCCCTGAGCCTCTATTAAAGAAAAAAAAAGCAGTCTTGTAAAACAGAATCTGTCCCATGGCTAAGCCAAGACCTTCTCTTATTGATTAAAGGTCACAAGAATGTAGATAAGTTAAGCTATGCAGAGAACTAACATTCCGAAATGCCAAGTCCTAAGGCTAAAAGTCTAAAACCAATCATTCAAAATACAAGGATGTGCAACCCTGGAGAAATAATCCAAGCAAAGCCACTCTGCTGGATCTGAAATCCAGATCACCAGCATCCCGCTAAGGCACTCCCACACAGAGGGCTGAGACAGAGCTCTGAACCGACACTACTAAACACGGAGTCCTGCAAACACACACAGAGCTCATGCAGCTGTAAGCAAGACAGTCCCACGGACTCTGAAGTTGCTGGGTGTACTGAGTAAGTCAGGCTTGATGAGAGATAAAGAGACAGGAAGACGAAAGAAACAGAAGGGGACAGAGGCACCCACACGAGACAGGCAAGCTACAGCCACCCAGTTCTGGTGCCTTAAACATTCTAAATAAGTAGAAACTCGCTCCTCTCCCGGTTAATCCTGCATTTCTCCAGAGAAGGTGGCTTTAATTATCACTCAGTTTTCTCATCAGAGGAAGCCAATGTACACAGAGGCAATGGAGTTATTCCAGCTTTTATCTAATTATATTATCAGAAGAATTCAATGCTTGGCCTTAAACGATACCCACATCCACTGAGTCTAAGGCCAGAGGGTGAGAACAAGCCAGATCAGAACTCAGGCCAGGCTTGAGTACAGGGAGAATTTCGGCTCCAGCCCTGAAAAAGGCAGTCCTAAAGCCTCAAAGTACTTAGTACGAAAGGTGAAGCAAGTTCAAGGGCAAAAGCAGCACATGTCAGTGACTCTGCCCTGGCTAAGAGCATAGCAGGAAAATGTCAAAGCAGCCAGTTAGCTGAGCAGCCAGATGTGCAGAAGTCAACCCTAGAAAACGCATCCAAATGGGACAAGACCCCTCCAGCAAGTAAGTAGGGGAAAACAGGATATTTTTCACTATCTTCTCAATGCCTGGATGCTGGTGCATAGTAAGTACTAAATAAACATGTGTAGGATGAATGAATGAAATAAGAAGCCCCTTTAGACACCAAATCCACTCACCTCCTCCTCGTCACCGCCACCTTTCCCTATAGGAATGAGAGTCCACTGCCTTTCTTGTGACTTCCCAGGGTAGTTCTTATTAAGTAACTAATTTTAATTAGATCCCAAGGACAAAAGTATATATACTCCCAAGTTGTAAATGACAAGAATATTAAGAGAAACCTCATGGGAAACGTAAAGCACAGAGGTAGAGTTGCTGATTGAGCCCTGGGAGCAGCGCCTGGGAGAGCAGTGACTGCTGCTGGAGCAAGCAAGCTGGGCTGGCAGCAGGAGCCTCCTGGGGCTCGGCCCCACTATTGCAAGGAGAGAGGAAGAGGAGGCTAGATTTTGCTTTCTGGTCTGGGCGGACATAGACAACTGACACTTATCAGAGCAATCCTGCAAGCCCGCAGTAGGTTGTGGTCTGACTTATCACCTACATGCTTTAGCTTCCTCGGATGAACTCTCATACCACCTAAGAGAGAATAAAGCATTAGGCCACATGACAGGGGGCGAACCTGTGACTCAATTCAGGAAACAGCAACCAGATTGCTTGTCCAAAAGGCACTGTGGTGACCAAGGTGAAAGTTAATAATAATAAAAGCTGCCATGTAAAGGAGACTCATGACCCAAGAGCCAGATGACCCACACCACAAGGATCTCCCTGCCCAAGTTAGAGGCAGGCAAGGAGCTGGAGTTGCGACAATTCAGTCGGTTGTGGCAACATAGCAACACCTCTTTTCTACAAAAAAGTCAAAACACACACTGGCCAGGCATGGTAACACGCACCTGTAGTCCCGGCTACTCAGGAAGCTAAGCAAAAAGGATTGCATGAGCCCAAGGAGCTCAAGGCTATGGTGAGGCGTGATTGTACCAATGCACTCTAGCCTGGGTAAGAGTGAGATACTGACTCAAAAAAAAGGAAAATGTTCTGAAGCTAAAACACATTGATGCCTGTGATAGATTCAATTATTGATCCCAGATCTTCACTCCCTTACAGTAGAATTATACATCCATGCTCATACTGTGGCTTCATGGCAAACAGAGTATATTTCCTGAGCTCTTGACTTTGGGCTTACCTATGCTTTGACCAGTAGTGATGATTCCATGACACTAACAAATACTTAAAATGTGCTTGTGCCACTGGGCCTACTCTCTTGAGTTCTTGCTGTTTTCCATGAGAAAAAAAATCACCTCACTTAACTACAAGTCCAAGGAGGATGAGAGGCATGTAGAACCGACCTGGACCTAGCCCACAGCTTGGTGTCAGGCTGAGCTGAGCCCAGTACACATCAGCCAAACTCCACCAACATGCAGGACCATGAGCCCAAAATAAATGCTTGTTGTAAGCCACTAAAATCTCAAAGTTGTGTGCTATGCAGCAATAAACTGACTATACAATGCCCTTTAAGGACCCTTTCAGAACTTTCATTTAAAGAAAGACTCTGGCTGTTCAAAAGGGGGAAATGAGTTCATAAAAATCTCAAGCACTACAGTGTGTGGCTCCATCACTTTGGAGAACAATTTCACGGTATCTAGTAAAGCTGAAGATGCCCATTCCTTACTGTTCAATTACTCCACCTCTAGGTACATAACATAGAGCAGGAGTTGGCAAAACTATTCTGTAAAGGGCGAGATAGCAAATATTTTAGGTTTTGCAGACCATACGGTCTTAATTAACTGCTGTTTTAGTGTGGAAGCATCCATAGACAACACTTAAATGAGTGCCTATGGCTGTTTTCCAATAAAACTTTTTGATGGACATTGAAATCTGCATTTTACATAATTTTCACATGCCACAAAATACTCTTCTTCTTCCTATTTTTAACCAGTAAAATGTAAAAACAATCCTTCGCTGGCTGAATGGAAACAGAATATGATATACACATACAATGGAATATTAGTCAGCCTTAAAAAGGAAAGAAATTCTGACACATGCCTCCACATGGATGAACGTTGGAGGCATTATGCTAAGTGAAGTCAGTCACAAAGGGACAGATACCGTATGATTCCACTTATATGACATCCCTCAGGTTGTGAAATTCAACAGAAAGTAAAATGGTGGCTGCCAGGGGGAAGAGGGGAAAAGGGTGTTATTGTTTAATGACTTCAGAGTTTCAGTGTGGATAATGAAATATTCTGGAATGAATGGTGATGGTGGTCACACAACCATGCGTATGTATCTAATGCACTGAACTGTACACTGAAAAATGATGAAAATGGTAACTCTTACATTATGCATATTTTACCACAATTTTAAAAGTTCAAATCCAAAGAAAAAATGTTAAAAACATTCTTAATTCATGGCTTCATAGAAAAACAAATAGTGGCCAGATTAGACCGACAGACTGCAGTTTGCCAACATTTGCCTTAAAGAAGCTCTCTCACTGTGCCCCAGGAGGAGGTAAGCACAGGAAGCCATCACAGCACTGTCCAGGTTATAAAAAAAGGGAAAAAAGGAAATAGAGTAAATATTCATCAACAGGAAAATGGAGAAATACATTGTGGTATATTTATACAATAGAATACTCAATGATAAGTGGAATGTGCTACAATTTATATATAAAATTTAAAGCCCTACTGAGTAATGCTATACTGTATTAATGAATACATAAATATGTAGTGAAAGTATAAAAACACACACAGGAATGATAAACACTGGATTCATAGTAATAGTTACCTCTGAGGAGGGAGAGGGAGTGGAATACACAAGGAGCCTCAATTATATCAGTAAAGTTTTATTTCTTTAAATGAGATCTGATGCTAAGATGACATAATGTTAAGATTTGATCAAGTTTAATGGTGGGTAAATAGGTATTCATTATGTTCTTTTCTATTCTTGTCTGATCTTTGAACTATTTCATGATGAAAAAATTAATCTATAAAAAGCGAAGGAAGGAACAAGTTCTTTGAGGGGGAAAAAAAAGAAACCATCAATTTCAAAACATGCCAGGAGCAGCACCATGAATAATGAGAGGCAACCAGGCTGCATCATGGATCCTCCCTGGCTTTCTCAGGTTTCTTCAGCCCACCAATTTAGAATCTGGGAGATGAACCTTGTTTAGAGTCCCACGTTTGGAACCAAAGAATAGTTCTGCCCACAGGTTTTCTCCCCCTCTGTGGCTGGAGAGGGAACTGACAGAATCCAGACTACCCATACCTGGGCACCATCCCTCCAGCCACAAGCCAGGTTTCTAGAGATACGTCCACTCGCACCCATAAGGCATAAGAAGTCATTTTAGGGCTTTACAATGTTGAGTTGTGAAAACCCCAGGATTTCTGCCAAATACCTGCAAAGATGGAAAACGGCAGGTCAGGCTTCTCTGGGGGACCCATCATCAACTCAATAAGCATTCATTGACCTTGGTTCTAGTCCGTATCTAATGCTGTCAGATAGGATTAGATTAAACTGCAAGTAACAGGAAACACAATAACAGTGGATTAAACAAGACAGAAGTTTGTTTTTGCTTGTGTGAACTACATTCAGAGGTACATAACTTAGGGGGGTATGAAGGCACTGTCATTCCTGGGTGTGCTTATCCTCCTGTTCATGATGACCGCTAGAGCTCCAGCCGTCAGATCTGCCTTCCAAGCAACACAATGAAAGAAAGGGAGAAGGATGGACTTCCTTCCTCTTAAAGGAGACTTCCAGAAAGTATTCCATGACTTTTCCACTGACATCTCATTGGTCAGACATCATCAAATGGCCACACTTAGCTCTAAGGAAAACTAGGAAATATTTTCTGAGACACCATGAGCCCAACTAAAAAACATGAGGTACTACTGCTAAAGAAAACAGAGGAACAGAGTTGGCCAGGTGTGGTGGCTTAAGCCTATAATCCCAGCACTTTGGAAGGCCAAGGCAAGAAGACTGCCTGAGCCCAGGGGTTCGAGACCAGCCTGGGCAACTTGGTGAGACCTCATCTGTACAATATATCAAAAAAATTAGCCGGGCATGGCAGCACGTGCCTGTAGTTCCAGTTACTTGGAAGGCTGAGGCAAAAGGATCGCCTGAGCCCAGCAGGTTGATGCTGGGGTGACCGTGAGTGCGCCACTGCACTCCAGCCTGGGCAACAGAGTGAGACTCTGACTCAGAAAAAAAGAGTGGGGGGACAAATATTACAAAGAGCAACTCAACAATCTTTGTCACAATCATTGGGTTATTGTGTGGCCGGTCTTGAGCAAGAGTCAATAATTCCTCACTCTCAACTTTAACTGATTCAGAGTTGGAAAAGAATTGACATTTATTATTCCCAAATGAGCAACACTTTCATTGTTTATCTCTTTTAAACTTCACAAACAACTATACGATGTTGTATGTATTGCTCCCTCTTTTTTAGAGACAGGATAGTTTTCTGTCACTCAGGCTAGAGTGCCATGGTGCAATCATAGCTCACAGCAGCTTCGAACTCCTGGCCTCAAATGATCCTCCTGTCTCAGCCTCCCAAATTGCTAGGATTACAGGCATGAGACACTGCACCTGGCTGTATTATTCCCTTTTATAGATGAGAAAATTGAGGCTCAAAAATGCAAAGCCACCTCCCTAACTCATGCAGCTTTAAGTGGTGAGAACAGGATTTAAACCCAATTCAGGCTCCTTCACCACAACTTGCTGCCAACTTCTGACTTGGGTACAATTCCAGGTCTGCCATTCACTAACAGCATCACCTTGGTATACTTGACAGCCTCATTGTGCCTCATTTTTCTCATCTGCAAAATGGAAATAATAATGATATCTATGCTATCGGGTTGTTGAGAGGATTGAATGTATCTGGCACATAGTATAAGTATCAACTATTATCATAGTAGGCAACATCTGAGATGCTTCTTGAGGAAGAACAGGAACAGGGAGGGTGTTTCAGGCAGGCAGAGGAAGGAATGAACAGAAATCCGTGAGTCTCTCTCCAACATCAGTACTTACACAGGGTTTCAGCATGGGTGAGTCCTCCCTAGGTATTTATTTGACTTGACTGGCCTCAGGAATACTCCTAAGAATGAAAGACTATGAGACATGAGTCTCAGACTAGAAGGGAAGTGAGAAAAAGCACATCTTAACTCCCAACAGCAAGCTTTCCACAGTGTTAGCAGCATGTGAGAAAGGGGGCGTGCAGTGGTGGGGCCTAACCCCAGAAACAAGTACATGAACTTGGGTCCTTGCTCCATCTTGCCCCTTATCATACCCTATTCCAGGTGTTCTAGTTAGTTATTCATAGTGGGCAGCCAGCCAGCAGGGCAGTACTCAGCCCCACCTTCTGGGTGAGGCTGTTCTCTGAACTTATCCCTAAGCAGGAAAACTTTCTCCTCTGTGTACTTAAGGGATCAGCAGTCACAGAACACAGCCAGGGGAGGGAG